TCGTGTTGTACTTCGTTCAGTTACGTATTGCTAGCAGTAGTAAGCGTCCGTCCCAAGATGGTGAAAAAAAGCACCTCTGGGTTATCTCTACCTGAAGCCAGCCAATCAAAACTACGCTGGAGAGTGACGTCATAGTGGTGGGTACTGCTAGACGGACGGATAACAGCCAATCAAAACTAAGCTAGAAGGAGTGACGTCATAGTGGTGTGGACTGCTAGACGGACGGACAAACAGACGGAATGGACGGGTATAAAATGAAAACTGGGATGATTATCTTTAATAGGCCAAGTCATTACTCTAAAGGGACTTATTTCACGTTGCGAAGAGGAGTCAGGTAATCCTTTAATGGTCGATAAGTAAGTCCGATTATTATAAGTCCGGTCATTATAAGTCCGATCATTATAAGTCGATCATTATAAGTCCGATTATTATAAGTCCGATTTTATAAGTCCGATTATTATAAGTCCGATTATTATAAGTCCGATTATTATAAGTCCGATTATTATAAGTCCGATTATTATAAGTCCGATCATTATAAGTCCGATTATTATAAGTCCGATTATTATAAGTCCGTCTCACAATCGCAAATGACCCCCCCCCCTACGTTCCCCCTTAGCAGCAAGTCCGATCACCTAGATGTACCTGTGATCAGATAAAAAGTCCGATCATCTAATACCAGCGATCAGATACAAGTCTAACCACCCAGCAACAAGAGCATAATCGGTGCCCTTACATATCGTGGTGGAGGGTGGGGGGCGAGGAGGGGGGGTGGGGAGGGTGAAGGATTGGGATAAGAGTGGGGAGGGGGGTATGGTGGAGGTGGGGGTGATATGGGGGTAGGGTGTGTGTGGATTAGGATGGGGGAGGTTATGGATGGGGTTGGAGGGAGGTTTGGGGGTGGAGTGGGTGTGGGTGGGGAGAGGAAGGGTGAGAAGGGTGGAGTGGGGTGGGGGTGGGGTTAAGATGTTGCTGATTGGCGATATTAATGCAGAAAGACCATAAATTGTATTAATGGTCTGGTACGACAGGTGACATGGGAAGTGCATCTGTAACTCTCTCTCTCTCTCTCTCTCTCTCTCTCTCTCTCTCTCTCTCTCTCTCTCTCTCTCTCTTTTACACTAGTTTTATTTACACTTAGCAGGTCAATGTCTCGCCTGCCATTATCTGAGGGCAGTTGGTGTTGTCAGGACCGCTGGGATGTTGTCAGGGCCACTGGGATGTTGTCAGGGTGGGTGTGGGGACTCTGGGATGTAAACAACCAGAGGAAGGAGAAAGAAAATGAAAGGAGAAAGAAGAAGAGGAAGAGGAAGAGGAGGAAGAAGAAGAAGAAGAAAGAGTAGACGACCTGGTCACATAATAGCTGGTCAGTGTCCAGTATGGTAATAGGAGATCAGCCATGCCAGATGAGCGCTACTTCCCTCAATAACGTCAATCACATTCAGCACCTCACAGATCAGCACCTCACCGGATCAGCACCTCCCTCAGATCCAGCTCTCACCCAGATCAGCGCCTCACCAGATCCCAGCGCCTCACACCAGATCCCAGCGCCTCACACGGCCAGCGCCTCACCACATCCCAGCGTCACCTCCTTCGCACAGATCAGCGCCTCCACACAGATCCCAGCGCCTCACACCGCATCACGCACCTCACCAGATCCCAGCGCCTCCCCACCAGATCAGCACCTCACACAGATCAGCGCCTCACACGATCAGCGCCTCACACAATCCAGCGCCTCACACACCAGATCAGCGCCTCACACAGATCCCAGCGCCTCACCACCAGATCCACACCTCACACCCATCACAGCACCTCACAGATCTCAGCGCCTCCACACAGATCAGCGCCTCACACCAGATTCCAGCGCCTCACCAGATCCCAGCGCCTCCAGCCAGATCCCAGCGCCTCTCACCAAATCAACACCTCACACCAGATCCCAGCGCCTCCACACCAGATCCCAGTGCCTCACACCACATTCCAGCGCCTCACCACATCAGCGCCTCACGCCACATCTCAGCGCCTCACACAGATCAGTGCCACACCAGTCTCAGCACCTCACACCAGATCCCAACACCTCACACAGATCCCAGCGCCCCCAGATCCCAGCGCCTCCACCACCAGATCCCAGCGCCTCACCACCAGATCCAGCGCCTCCACCACAGATCCCAGCGCCTCACACCAGATCCAGCTGCTTCCACACAGATCAGCGCCACACACCACACAGCGCCACACCACCACCTAACCTAACGCAGAGACTGTCACCGTGCCAACATAATTATTCATACATTAATTACAAGCAATTCATGTTCTTGTCAATCATACTGAGAGTCAGTCTGTGTGTTTGGCGGGCGTCATCCATCACTCCTGCCACCACCATCCATCTATCCTGCTGCCATCACTCCTGCACCACCATCCATCTATCTGCTGCCAGCCACCATCCATCTATCCTGCTGACAATACCATCCATCTATCCTGCTGACAATACCATCCATCTGTCTGCTTAAATCATCCCTTGCACCATCCGTCAATCATAACGCCAATGCAATCCGTCTATCCATAACCTTGCTACCATCCATCTATCATGTTGCCAGTACCATCCGTCTATCATGCCTTGATGCCATCCATCTATCATGCCCTGATACCGTCCGTCTATCCTTGCCGTCAGTATAAATCAGTCTATCCTTGACAATATAATCCGTCTATCATGCTTCCAGTGCCGTCCCCATCTGTCATAACCTTGGCAATTGCCGTCCATCACCAATCATCCTTGATACCGTCCATCTATCTCTGATGTAAATCCGTTTGTCTTTGCTGCCATACCGTTTTTGATACCGTCCGTCATCATAACGCCAGTGCCGTCCGTCTGTCCTGCTGCCAAATCCATCTATCCTGCTCCAGTACCGTCCATCCGTCATACCTTGATGCCATCCCGTCTAGGCTGCTGACAATGCCATCCGTCTGTCCTTATGCCATGTACCATCCATCTATCATAACCTTGATGCCATCTATCCATCTTGTCAACGCAATCCTCATCCTGTGTCCAAACACCATTGCACCATCTACCACTCCGACCTACCTGCCACTACCACCACTACCACCACTACCACTACACCTTACCATCATAGCTAATATCCCATCATCTTCTCCATTAACCCATCACCCCATCTCCTTACCCATCACCCCACCTCATACCCATCACCCCATCTCCTTACCCATCACCCCCCACCTCCTACCCATCACCCCCACTCTTCCCCATCACCCCTTCTCCTTACCCATCCCCTACCCTTACCCATCACCCCTACCCTTACCCATCACCCCCACCCTTACCCATCACCCCATCTCCTTACACCCATCACCCCATCTCCTTACCCATCACCCCATCCTTACCATCACCCCATCCCTTACCCATCACCCCGTCACTTCCCCACCAGTGACATTCCAGTGGCCTGCAAAGGACAAACAGCACCTTTCTTCCTGTATCTTACCCACGGGGCATTGCTCTGCTCCCTACCTCCTTTACCCCACCTCCCCTTGCCCTCCCCCTCTCTCTACCCCTACAATACCTTCCTGTGATTACCCCTCCCTCCTTCCCATGCCCAGCTACCCCTCGCCCTTCTTATGCTCTTCTACCCCTCCTTACCTTCCTTGGCTGGATACACCTGCTCCCTCCCTCCCTCCCTCACATGCCAGGTACCTCACCTCCTCCCTCCTCCCTCACATGCCCAGGTACCCCTCCCTCCCCTCCCTCCACATGCCCAGTACCCTCCCTCCCCCATGTCCAGACACCAACATAATGGTTGAGTGCAGGTGTGCTCAGCCGTCACCACACTGTCACCACACTCTGCCCCCCGCCACCATGCCCCCACCACCATGCCCCACCACCACACTGGTACATCTAATAGCACTAGTAGGTGACAGGACCAAACTAATAAACATAATAGTCCTAGTAGCGCCATTAAACCTCTCCTGCAGGTACTACTCACAGGTAGGGGCCAATACCTGCGCCACACACCTGTACGTCTGCCAGGTCACTCCACCTCACCTGTAATGTGAGAAGTGAAACGTATTAGTACAAAAACAAATGAATGAACTAGAGGAAAATAACAATGGAATAAATGGGAAATAGGAAAGCTTGGATACTCTATTTCCCCAGTTATGTCATGGTGGAAATTTCAGGAAGCTTAGCGTTGTTCATCCTGGGGTTAAAATATTATATATGGTATTTGTTATCTTGGGGTTAATTATTATTATATATTGTTGGATTATTGGGATTGTATTATTATTATTATTATTATTATTATTATTATTATTTTTTGTGTATGATTTAATAGATGTATATAATACTCTTGATGTACGTGTGATATACATACATACAGTACATACATACATACATAGGAGATATATGTATGCAAACTTTCAACATACGTACATTAAAACAAAGGAATTTACACCTCTTGCAACACACACACACACACACACACACACACACAGAGTGTCACACGTGATAACTAATCCATTAATCCACTGAAATTCTCATTAATCCACAGAGTTCAGGCACCTTGACAAATACCTTTAATCCTCCTAATCCCTAAGACCTCCTAAAACCAATTTCCCAAACCTTCCCCATTTATCCATAGAAATTTCCCCTCCACACACACACACAACCCCACGTATCTTACACCCCATCTTACCGTATACGTATCTACACCCGTATCTACACCCCACACCACGTATCTTCACGTATTACACCACGTATCTTACACCCCACGTATCTTACACCCCCACGTATCTTACACCCCCGTATCTTACCCCCACGTATCTTACACCCCACGTATCTTACCCCCGCGTATCTTACACCCGTATCTTACCCCCACGTATCTACCCCTCTTACACCCCGTATCTTGTATTTACACCCCGTACTTACCTCCACGTATCTACGTATCTTACACCCCCACGTATCTTAAGGCAGTAGCCATATAGAGATATTGATCATTTCCTCACAAGTTCCCAATACAGACGGAAAATTACCTCTTGGATATTCATAGACGATAGGCCTATGGGGTCCCTCTGATTGGTGAAGATAATAGGCGTAGGGACGAGGTCCATCCCTATTTTAATATTAGGGGGACGGGGCCAGCAGACCTATTTAAATTGGGTGGTGGAGGGGAGGAAACGTACCTAAGCCTAGTGGAGGGAGGGAGGGAGGGAGCCTATTTAGATGGATGGAGAGGAAGGGCGAGTCTAAATACAGTGGAGGGAAGGAAGGAAGGAAGGAAGGAAGGAGGGGGAGAGAGGGAGAGAATCAGCTTATTTAAATGGGTAAAGGTAAAGACGAGGGGTGTACCTAAATCAAATAGGAGAAGAGGAAAGTGTACCTATTCTAATTGGGGACAAGAGAAGGTCAACCTAATTTGTAAAAGAAGGGTGCCAACCAATTACCCTATTTTAAGGTAGGGAAGGAAGTGAGGGATGTACCTATTTTTCGTAAGGTAAATAGGAAAGCGTGTCCCAATTACACTTATTCGACTCAGGCAGGTTTTAATAGGTCTCGTTGGGTACCTATTTCAAGTGAGCTCATTTATTCAATACTCATTTTCAATTATTTTCGGTATAATTAAGGGCGAGCAGGAGGTAAGGAGGAGGAGGAGAGGAGAAGAGGAAGAAGATAAAGGAGGAGGTAGAGGAGAAAGGGGAGGAGGAGAGGAAGAAGATAAAGGAGGTGGGAGAAAGGGGAAAAGGAGGAAGAGGAGGAGGAGGAGGAGGAGGAGGAGGAGGAGGAGGAGGAAGGAGGAGAAAGAGGAAAGAAGATAAGGAGGGAGGTAGAGGAGGAGGAGGGAGGAGGGGGAAAAAGGAGTAGAAGACACGATGAATATGCAAAAGGAGGAGAACGAAGAAGAAGAAGAAGAACAAGAACAAGGAGAAGAAGAAGAACAAGAAATATATAGTTCATTACTAAAGTTAAGGGTTGCCAGGTCGTATAATAACCAGTTAATAACAAGAACCCCCCCCCCGTTATGTTATGGTCTTAAGTACACCTGACACCGTCTAGTACAGGTACACAAAAGTGGGCGTTTAGTACGTGTATGCCGTGTATAAGGGGCCCCGGACACGTGTATGCCGTGTATAAGGGGCCCCGGACACGTGTATGCCGTGTATAAGAGGCCCCGGACACGTGTATGCCGTGTATAAGAGGCCCCGGACACGTGTATGCCGTGTATAAGGGGCCCCGGACACGTGTATGCCGTGTATAAGGGGCCCCGGACACGTGTATGCCGTGTATAAATTTGGCACACGTGTATAAGGCGGACACGTGTATGCCGTGTATTAGAGGCCCCGGACACCCCGATGTGTATGCCGTGTATAAGACCCCAGATAGATACACGGTGGAATGACCCCCCCACCCCGTGTCTTTTTTCATTTTCACCTGGTACGGGGGCAGGAGGAGGAGATGGGGGGTGACAGGAGGGAGGGAGGTGAGGAAGGAGGAGGTGAAGGAGAGGAAGATGAGAGGGGAGGGATGAGAATAAGGAAGGGAGAGGAAGGAGTGGTGAACTGGTAGCCTCGCCTCTGTTGTCACCGATAGTACTGTGGAGGAGGAGGAGAGGAGGAGGAGGAGGAAGAAGAATATAGGAGAAAGAGAATTATAGAGAGAATAAGTGGTGGGTATCTCCTTGTGATCTAGACTTACCCTCCCTCCCCCCCTTCCTCCCCCACACAGTCAAGATTCTCTTAGTCTCTCAAGGCAAAATTTCCCTCCACAGCATATACAGTCTCAACGCATTTATGACGCCATTTTGCTCTTCCATCTTATCTAAAATTAACCTCTTAAATACATTATAAATCGTAAGAACAATAAATAAAAATAACTTACGATTTCTTTGGGATATTTAAAATTTTTTCTCTTAATGTAAAAAATCGAATTACAGGCTTTTCAGAATCCCTTTTTCATAATGTAGGCAAAGATGAAATATTAAATTGGGTTAGAGTTGGAGTTAAGTTAGGCTGGGTTAAGTTAGGCTGGGTTAAGTTGGGTTGGGTTAGGTAGGCTGGGTTAAGTTAGGCTGGGTTAAGTTAGGCTGGGTTAAGTTGGGTTGGGATTTAAGTTGGGTTGGGGGGTTAAGTTGGGTTGGGTTAAGTTGGGTTGGGTTAAGTTAGGCTGGGTTAAGTTAGGCTGGGTTAAGTTGGGTTGAGTTGTGGTTAGGTTGGCTATTAATTGGTGTTAAGTGAGTCAGTCAGATACACGTTCTCAAAACTCTTAAGGTA